ACAAGTTTGAAAAAGTAGACGACTTCGTTTATTTGAGAACCAGCATTAATACAAATAATAATGTCAGCCTTGAAATCTAACGGAGAATCACTCTAGCCAATAAGTGNCTCTATAAGTCACTCATCATGCCTGTGCTGGTGTATGGCGCGGAAGCATGGACAATGAAAGCATCTGATGAGGCGGCTCTTGGAGTTTTCGAGAGAAAGATTCTGCGAAAGATTTACGGACCTTTACGCGTTGGTGATGGCGAATATCGCAGACGTTTTAACGATGAGCTGTATGAGCTTTACAACGATGTAGACATAGTGCAGCGAATTAAAATTCAGCGGCTCCGCTGGCTTGGTCATGTCGTTCGAATGGACAGAAACGCTCCTGCTCTGAAAATATTCAACGCGGGCCGCGATGCTGGTAACAGAGGAAGAGGAAGGCCTCCTCTGCATTGGAAAGACCAGGTGGAGAAGAACTTGGCTTCACTTGGCGTGCTGTTTTGGACTCGGTCAAAATCGCTTAGGCGGTTACAGCGCCAATAAAGAAGAAGAAGAAAGAATAATTAGCATAACGAATGCGAATGCGAATATTCGCAACATCCCTGGTATATACATGCATCTATATATATATGTATGTACATTAGACTGCATCACCAAAAAATGTTTCGGTTTTTCCGCCAGGATTACAGAATTTATTATATTTTAAGACGTCCGCCAAAATATTTCGGAAAAATATTAAGATTTAAGCGAGCTGGACCGATTTGAAAATACCTCCAAAAATCAAGTTTTTTATGAATAAAAATAGTTTCTTAAAGAACTTTTTGAAAAAAGTCCCCTCAGATGACAAATTAGATTAAGCTTAAAAAATCTATATAAAAATATTTAAACATCTTTTCAACGGAATCGTAAGAATGAGATTTTTGATGCTGATTTTTTACTTTTTTCAAAGATTGGTTTACGAAAAACTTGAATAACTGGGCCAAAAATGTTTTTATTTAGACTTATGGGATCTCAGTAGAAAGGTATTTTCACACTGTTTTTATTTCTGGCCAAAAAAACGTCATCCGTGTCCCATCTTGTTTTTTCGAATACCAAAACATCTTAATTCAACTCTGAATGACGTTCGTTCATCCTACCTTTCTCTTCCATACTTTGAATGAGTTTATTAGCAAAGAAATAAAAAGGGTGAGAAAATACCTTTCCAATGACACCTCTTAAGTCTGAATCGGAAGAGTTGAGGTTCAGTTATTCAAGTTTTTCCTATACGAATATTTGAAAAAAGTTAAAAACCAGCATCAAAAATCTCATCATACGATTCCGTTCAAAATTTTTTTTTTAATTTTTTTTAAATATTTTTATGCAAATATTTTAAGCTTAAACCGTTTTGTCATTTGAGGGGATTTTTTCAAAAAAACTCTTTAAGAAACTATTTTTATTCATAAAAAACTCCATTTTTGGAGGTATTTTCAAATCGGTCCAGCTCATTTAAATCTTAATATTTTTCCGAAATATTTTGGTGGACGTCTTAAAATATAATAGATTTTATAATTCCAAGGGAAAAATAGTACAGACTTTTTTTTTGTATGGGGAGTGATGCAGTCTAATGTACATACATACACTCAGAAAAAAGGCAGCCAAATATATTTCTCTCAACACAAGATTTGGTGTAACTGTAACCAAATCACGTGTTGAGAGAAACATATTTAGTTGTTGTAACTAAACTATTTTCTCAAATGGTGTGTGCTTTTAACCAGACCCACCTATCGACATGTTTTTCGACCCACTGAATCCGAATATGAAATCCGTTTTGCTCGTGTACCTCCTGAATTCGGCGTTAATTGGGAAAATTGTGAAAAAATGGCAAAAAAGTTGTAGTGGAAATTGTGATTGATATTGCGCTGCTATGGTAATACTACTAGTTATAATATCGCAGTAATCGTGTTGCCAATGGTAAACAATTTTTTTTTCTCCATGGTTTTATCTCCATAATTGATTTATTAGCTAACCTTTAAGTTCAAGATTTGAGTGTTGAGATTATCTTAAAATTATTTTACGGCCGGCGAATGGAACCCTATATAAGAGCGCAAAACCTAGTGTCGGGCTAGTATCAGATTTCGCACTATTTACGAGTAACTTCCATTACGAGAACTTGAATTTTTTTCTATTCATAAAATGTCAAATCAATTTATTTGCAGTTTATTTTTGTTGATCGCAGCTACAAGTACATATGTATGCTGTGGCAATTAAAGGTAGCAAGCCCATCTCCATAAGCGATAATTCCTTCCTTGTCTCAGTGGAAGGAAATAGTGGAGGTCGCATCTGTGCTGGTAGTTTAATTGACAATGAAACCGTTGTCACTGCTGCTACGTGCTTGGCTTTCTACGATCCTGATCAATTGGTTGTGGCTGTAGATAATGGCGCTAAGGTCATACAAATAGCAGCATATCTTTTGATCCTTACTTCGATTTTGTCACAATGGAAAATGATATTGCCGTCTTGAAGTTGGCCGAATCTGTGAACGCTAATTACTTGGAATTGGCTACCGAGCAACCGGCTTCCGGTTCCAGTGGCATACTTGTTCGTTTTAATGCGAACAACACTGTTGCGGAATTTGCTGAAACTATATTAAGTATTGAGGACTGCACTTCAGGAAAGTATAAATACGAAGAAGGTGATTTATTCAATACAATGTTGTGTGCTCTTCCTGAGGATACTGATGCTTGTGGTGGCCCAGCGGGAAGCCCTTTGTGTCAAATAATAAGTTAGTTGGTTTGATTTCCTGGGGTTATGGCTGTGCAAACAAAGACAGCCCAGCCGTTTGTACCAACGTAGCATCCCTGCATTCATGGATTGAAACGACTTCTGAGAATTTGTAAAGTTTTAACGAAATAATAGTAATGATAAAATTGTGTTTTTTTTAAAGAAATATGTCGATAGAATTACGAATTTCTCAAATTAAAAAATAATTCCGTTTTATGCAATAAATATACATATGTATCAGCTTATTTTTAGTCTACGTTTGTGAAACATTAAAACCATTTGCCGTTCGGAGGCGGCGTAAAACTGAAGGTCAACATCAAGCCGCAGAAGCTCGGCCACGCACTAACGAATGTGCAAGAAAAATTAAAAACTTCCTCAAAAATCTCGATGTACATACACACATCCATACACTGGCAATCTAGAGTGAGTGCATGGTGTCTTTTGTTTATTATTTGCAATGATTTTCAAGTTAAATTTTGTTTGGTTATTTTTAAGTAAACCATACTTTAATCAAAACCGCATAAATCAAACTTTCAAACTTTATGCAGAACGTAGAAAACTTCAAAAAAATTTCATCTTAATTATTAACATTTTAATCTGAATTTTTGGAAAAATTTTGGGTACGCACATAAATCGGCTATGTAATTCTAGTGAAACGAGTACAAGTTTTAAGCGGCTAAAAAATCGCGTTGATTTTTNTCTGCGTACTCAAAATTTTTCTAAAAATTCAGATTAAAAACTTCAAAACTTAGACGAAAATTCGTTGGTTTTTTCTAAGTTATGGTATAGCGTTTGAGAGTTTGCCTTATGTGGTTTTGATTAAAGCATGAACCACATGCACGATACCAACAATGGCTTTTTGGAATGTATGCATTTTAGATAGAGCTTTACTTGTACATACGAAAATATGGTGTTTTCAAATCAAAGCGGAATCGAAGATCGTCTAGCTTTCCACCGGCCATCTTTTGCATGCCTAAGACTAATATACATATACATAAAGAAGCAAAAGCTTTTAAGTTGGGACACAAGGAATCGCAAAACAAAATCTTTAAATTGAAAAAAAAAAATATTTGCCTTGTAAATAGACTTGGTCAATGTCTAGACATCTTTTAAAGTCTAAAATGTCGTATACATTTATAACGCTGAGCATAACTATCCGACATTAGTCCACAGGCTTTAACAGGAACTCCTATGATCCGCCTGTCAGAGGGAGATGAGCTCAAAGGTACTCTGCCTAACATTGTATTCTCCTCCAATGTTACTGTAAATATATAAGAAGAGACAACACGTTATAATTGTAGCGAGTGTGAACATCAGGAGCGTGCCTTCTCATTTCATCCAATCAAAAAACGTATATGGGCAAAAGAGAAGGCGCGCTTCTGATGTATACACTCGCTACAATTATAACGTGTTGTCTCTTCTTATAGATTTACGTTCTTTGGTAAAGGTGAGTGCGTACATAGATAAAGAAAATGATAAAGCCAAAGTAAAAATGAAAACAAAAACAAAGATGCGTAAAGGTAAATGCAAAAATTAAGACCAAGGTAAATTTGAACACTTAATTTACATATATGTATAAAGGCAAAGGTGAAGGGTAATATGAAGAAAATGATAAACATAAAAGTAAAAAAAGATAAATATAAAGAAAAAGATGATGATGGGGATACCGATAAAAGTAAAAATGAAGAAAGAGGATGAACGATTAAAATAAAGGTAATTATAGTGAAAAGGATATAGATAGAGACACAGACATAATCTAGGAACTATTTATAGATTTTCGGGATTCTCGGAACTTATCGATATAATAATAAATTTTTGTTACCGAAATTTTTGTCGGTTTTGTTATCGATTTTGTTAGCGATGTTTTTATCCAGTTTGTTATCGATTTTGGTATCGATATTCTTGTCCATTTGGTTATCGATTTTACAGCCGATACTTTTGTACATTTTGTTATCGATATTTTTATCTATTTTGTTATCGATATTTGTATCGATTTGGATATTTTTACCGGTTTTATTATCGACATTTTTTGTCTATATTGTCATCGATTTTGCTATCGATATTTTCAGCGATATTTTAATCGATTTTTTTACAAATATTTTTATCCATTTTGCTATCAGGGGTACACTTTTGTCTATATAGAACAATGCTAGGAGTGAAACATTTTTGGACTACTGTGTGCTACTACCTATTCATTCCCAGTAGAAAAATGCAATGTATAGTAATCGAAAAAATTATCAGTAAAACAACCCTTTCCACATTCGAAAATGCATTTTTTTCCCCTAGGGCGATGTCATAAGAAAAGTGGTGCATTTTGCATTATCTAGTATCGAGAAATGAATTTGTTTTAATATGAAATTTCTGGAACTCTTTGGATATATCAGAATGCTGATTACATAGTTATCAGTAATATAATCGAAAACTCATAAGAAATACATTATATTATTTATCACGCATGTAATGCATTACTACTTCTTCGACTGGGTATGATCATCCAACGAACAAACAAAAAAAAAAAAAAAACGAATCAAAGTGAAAGTCAAACTCACCCCTGAATCTGTGTCTCAAAGTGCGGAAATTGTTTGAGAAAAGCTTCGCGTTCACTCCACTTGGGCAGGTAATTGTCCCGCCAATATTCGACCACCAATGCCTTCTAGTGGCTCATGTAGAACGAGTGGTTGTGACAGCTGTGCTTTGAGATCTTCTATTACCTGCAAAAGTAGTTGCATTCAAATAAATTACATACTTAATTAAATTACAAATTTATTTTACTGAACATGTTGCTCATTTACTTCAATAGTACCATAATCTAAAAAATACAAATATTGAGTTAAGTATTTTCGCAGAAATTACCGCAACCTCTTCTTTTATGCTGTGTAAAAATTTCATAGATGTAGGGTTACCAGTACGATAAAATATATGTTCAGTTTTACTATGGGAGTATATCCTCGCCCGTATGCCAGAAATGTGAATGTGTAAAAATGAAAATTTAGAGAAATCAGCTTTGAAATTCGAAAATTTAAGCAGTTTTTCTCGAGTTTTGCATTTTTGAATTACGATACCGAGCCCTAACCGCCAAAATAACGTAAGCGACATTTTTTTCAAGTTTTTCTTTTTGATGCAGAAATGCATCTAGACGCTCTAGGAATATTTCTGCATCAAAAAGAAAATTTTGAAAAAAATGTCGCTTACGTTATTTTGGCGGTTAGGGCTCGATACTATGTAAATATTGAGGTATGTATACATATTAACGTTTGTAACTACATATGTGGTATACATATTAATACCTTTGGTTTAACGCTTATATCAAATTTTTTATGTCGGTATTCTCTTTGTAATTAGCAGCACTGCCAGGCCCCCAATACTCCGTATCGCTTAATGCAGGCAGCGGCGCCGAACTTGACAATAAATCAAGCCGATCTACAAAGACGGCCAGGACGACCACGAGGAGTACAAGTAGAACTTTTATTATTGATCCCATTTCGTGTACAGTTCTTTAAAACCGGCGGGCAAATTGGAGCGAATATATTTTGGAGTATAAATCATACAACTTTTTCAATTATCCTTTAAGTTTTGATTTCATAGAAAAAAGGTGTAAAAAACACTGTCAGAGAATAACCGGCCTTTCAAATCAAGTAATGGATAGAAACTGGCTAACGAATTAACTTTTTGGAACTTTTGTTGTGGCGGTTGTATGATTGTTTCTGCAGTTTATTTCTAAGAAGTGCCGTTGAGCATAACGGTGAGAGCAAAATTAAAGACTTTGTGAAGCAAACTGAAGAAGCAAGAATGATATAATACAAGATTGCACATTCCCGACGTCGATGACATTTGTGGGTAAAAAGTAGCGAAGCCGAATTGGAGGATAAAAGAGAATGCGAGATTAGTCAATTATCTTAATATTCCATTTTTCGATAGGAAACGTCTTTTAATTGCTTTAAATTGTGAAAATATATGATTTGTAATAAAAATTAATAAAAAAGATTTGAAAAAGGTGTGATTTTAGTGAAAGTGTAGTGAATTTCAGTGCATTTAAAATTTTTGAGGCGTTGTTTACGAAAATCGAGAACTGTAAAACTCGGCAAGACCAACGCGGCGGTTTGCGAAATGCGCCACCTGTGCGCTACATCGCGCTAAAGAAAGTTATATGTACCTATGTATGTATGTGAGTATATTCTAAGAAACAAAAAGGGGCAAATCAAACAAACATGAGATAGCATATTACTTATTACGAGTATTTATAAAGAAATCTTTTCCAAATTTAAATACTTATTTACCGGATTTAAATAGGTACTTATTTACCGGCATACATACAGTGTTGATACACCTTTGTAGCCAGCTAATTAAGTTAAGTGACATTTTGACCAGTTTTGGCTATTTTACTTTTGTATATTTAATGATAAAGATAAGTTGACTGTTCTCATCGACCTGCGATTCTCGCAGGAGCTTTCAATGTCAACTTTTCGCTGGCCGAATCTGATAGACTGACAAATTTTTAAAAGAAAAAATTTCATGGCTAATGGTTATTGGCAAGTTAGTTATAAAAAATTAAAAATTAAAGCTCGTTAAAAAAATTTCAAGTAAATAAAAAGAAAAATATTAAACATTAATAAAACTGGTAAAAATGCTACCTAACTAAATGAATCAGGTATATGGGTTATGACCTTCAAAATAAACAGGATCCAACATCGAAAGTTTAAGACGATTACAGTTATTGGCTTATTGCTCAATATTGATCTTAGGCGGAGTATTGCAGATAAAATATCGATAGTACTCTCCGGTTCCAATAATAATACCAAATTATGTATTTAACCATTTTTTAATATTAACTATTTTTTATAGGTCCCCAAAAACCTAAAAAAAAATCAATCAGAGGACATATAAAAAATCGTTAGTATTAAAATATGGTAAAATATTCAATTCGATATTATAATAGGATGTCTCCTGAAGAGAAACAGAGCTTTCCGATTGAAAAATATTGATTCTTTTTTTAGGAATTCTACCCCATTTCTGGAAAAAAGTGTTTTTCCCATATAAAATTCGTAGAGGTAGTTTTAAATATATATATATATTTTTTTAACAAAGCCATATGGGTAATCTTTTTTTCCTTTTAATAAAATCCTAAGAAGTGAGGGCTTTAAATTAAAAACAAAAATGTTACCACCCTAATGTACAACACTCTAATAATGCACCCAAAACGGCTACTTTGTTGTCATTGACATTGGAACTTTAGCTGAGCATATACATACATACATACATATATTATTAAGCTTTTGCCTCTCAATAAAAATGCCGGCTGCTTGCAATCTCATTATTCTATACATAATTACATACACACTTAATATTCATAAATAACATATGTATGTACATATAAGTGTACAGTTAATGTGTTTAGATATATATAAGGTTCTACCTACCCTGTAGCGAAAATTTCAAAATCCTGGGTGTTAATATACGCTGAAGCTAATTTATTGATTTATTTATTATGTATGTAGCTGTTTTTAAATTTTATTGGGCCTTTAGTGAGCCATCTACCGACCTTTGTACAAAAAGAGAATTTCGAAAGAAAATGAGTTAGGGTTTTTCTTTATTAAGGTAACGATAAATTCTTGGGTCTACTCTTGCTCTTTATTTCAAAAGCGAAGCACTTTACCCCTCACATACGTATACTTATAATACTTAGTAAAAATGTAGTCGATTATGGTTTAGTGAGTACTAGTATATGGACAACTTTTTTATATTCCTACATACATATATTATGCTTTCCGATATTTATTTATTGGCGTGTTTAGGTAAGCCAGGAAAACATATCCTACAAGCTTGCCTTTAAAATATAACACACTCATATTTGCTACATATGTTTTGCTTCATCCCTCAAAGCGCCGGCTTTTCCGCCTCTCTTCAAATTGTACTTAATTTGAAGAAAAAATTATTCGTAACAACAGACGAATGCACCTAAAAAATTTGTATGTACATTTAGTTGCACATTTCATATCACGTCAAATCTATTAAACTCTACGAAAATATGACGAAAATCTGCCATGCCTGATTTCGGGGTTCATCTTGTAACATAGTATGTCATCAATCGCTATAATACATTACCAACCAGGGAATTCAGTCCCGTAAACGCGGGATTCCGCGCCATTTTTTGCGGGATCAGAAATGAGGGATTACACATGCGAGATCTGCGGGATTTTCAGGACTACAGAAACAAATTAAAAAGACGAATGCGAGTGATAAACGTGCTCGTCAAAATGTTCGTCGTGCATGGCTGTATTAAATATGCATCATTTTATAACCCAGTAGATAATTTTAGGAGTTAAAAGCCCTTCCGAAAGGCCTTCCTGACAGTCAAGAGGCGTTCCACTCTATATTCTTTTCTCCTTTATTTTTTGTATGGACTGCCATCAATGGAAGGGCTACCCATAGAAGGCCTTCCAGAAGGGCTTTTATAGGACGCACATACTTCCGAAGCCCTTCTGGAGGAGTTCATCGTGTTTCGCAATATGTTTTGAGATTAGAAGCAAATCTTGACGTGATGGAGCAAAACGGACTTCAGATTCGAGTTCAGCGACGCCAAAAACATTAAAACACCTCGCCTGGTTTTATTTACCTTTTATCGATTTTTGTTTTGTGATCCTGATTAAAATTTAAAACCGTTCGCCTTGATAAATAGCTTAAACTTTGTACACTTACCGATTTATGAACACATTATACAAGTTGAGAACAGTCCGTCTCTATCGATAAATGAGTGGGCCAGCGGAAAAATTGAATTTTTTCTTGAGCTTCCTTTCGGATGCTAACTTCCAAATACTCATTACTCTGGTTCTATTAGGGCCCGTTTTTCAGTGCCAGTTTAAATTTAGATTAAGGAAACTGAGTTTAAATTGAACAGCTGGTTGACATTTGATTGGCTTATCTTAGTTTAAACCAGCCAGATTGGGCGTTTAAACTGAGCTTAAACTACGGCCGTGCACTGAAAAACTGGCCCTTAGAGGCACAAATTCAGCTCTAATGTAATTTTCAAGAGTATGCTATATAGAATATACTACATTAACTTTACTTTATTTTGGGTAATTGTACCTGTGTGAAATATGAAATTGTGTGAATTTTTTCTTTATATGATGGTTACTTTTCATGCAAATTTAAAAACAAAATTTGAGAATCTTCCACCAATATTTTTAAAATTTATTTTTATTTTTTTGAAATATAACCATAGGTATAATTATAATACCCCAAAAGTTTTATGGCCTTATTCATAAAAAAATAAAATAGGTTTAAAGGGCTTTATAAATTGACGTTTTATAATATTTTTCGCAATTTATAAACCTTTTTAAAGCTACTTTATTTTTTTATGAATAAGGCTATTAGAGTGTGATCTGCATAAGTTTGGGAGGTATGTAAATTTGTTCACATATATCTCGCACTAAGTATGAAGCTACGTATAGTTTAAAAATTGGTTTCACACCGACCTCTTGACAATCTCCACTCAAATTCTGTCCATTGACGATTTTGTAGACAGTTTGTGTCATACACTCTGAAACCACATGCTTATATTGCAGAAGAACAGTCGTTTCATTTTAAAAGTCGTAGGGAGATTTTAGACGAAAGAGATGTGATCGTACAGTGTGTTTTGTTGTCCAAAATGCCGCCCAGGCTTTCTATTTTTTTTTTTATATTTTTCAATACTAAAAAATAATAAAGAAAAAAACGTAATTTTAATTTTTACTATTCTTTAGAAGCCCACAACTCAAAAAGTAATCATCATATAAAAAAAAAAAATGCACACAATTTCATATTTCACACAGGTTCTAAATTTCACGAATTCTAAAGCATCACCCTTTTTTCCCTGTCCGCTTGACGTGAAATGCCCCAAAAACATGTTTTTTAAATTCGACCAATATGTATACGAATATTTTTTTGCAACATACTTACTTGTTGGCCGCTGTGAGACGTATAATATAAATTTAAACGTTTTGTAGAAGAATTTGCTGGGTAAAAAATTAAATATCAATTTCTGATTTGATTTTTATAATTATTCTTGGAGCTATCGATTAATTGCAAACATTTCTATCTGTGATTGCTAGCTGTCAAAGGTGAGTGAGTAAATTTTAATTTTAATTTTTTCTGCTTGTTTTGTTGATTTTTATTTTTGTTGTTTTACTGTCGCATATAGAACCTTGACACATGACCTCATCAGAAAAAATCATACACTGGCGCGCGTGCACTGCAACATTCGAGACACCGAGAATAAATAATGGTTTTCGTTTGGTAAGACTAAGACTATTTATTTTCTTTTATTAAAATAAATCCTTTTTTTTTTTAGGTTGAGCCTGATTTCGTCTTCTTATTCGGAACCGGAAATGAGGTCCTTGATCACCTCATTACTTTTTGCAATTTACTTTTGGATAAATAGTGTTTGTTTTTTTGATGTTGCTTGGAAACGAGACTCGAACCCAGGCCATGCGGAATGGTAGGGCCCACTGCTAACCACTACAGCACAGCGGCCTCCAATCGTAATACAAATTAAAAATATTGAATTTTTACTTAATTTTAAACTGTATGAAAAAAAGTATAGAAGAGAATCAACAGTGTTTTTATTTGGTAACACAAATACACCAGAAAACTATAAGTAGGCGGATGAAGTGTTTCTTAATCAAATACATTTATTTAGACAAAAGCGTAGAAAATTACTCAAGATTCACCTTTTTCACAAATTCTTGAAAATTAATATACAGCATACCAGGCAATTCGAAAGCGGCAAAATGACCACCCTGATTGTAGTATGTGCTGTGCACCAAATTTGGAAATTTGTCTTTGAGCGCCCAGTCGAGCGCCGCCGTTAAATCATGCTTGAAGCGTGCACAGCCCATTGGCACTGGTGATTGCACGCGATCCAACTGCAAACCCAAGAACTCCTTGGATAAATTCTCTGCATAGAAGCGCACCGATGTCGTCGCCGTATCGGTGAGATAGTAAATCATGATATTGTCCAGCAGTGGGTCCAGTTTGTACACCTTGTCCATAGCGTTGAATTGCTGATTTAGACCAGGTCCAGTGACTGTTTGGAATTTTTCTAGGAAATACGCCGCCAAGCCGATTGGATTGGTCTGCAAAGCAGTGCCAATAGTGTCCGGTTTGGTAGCTTGTAAGTGGAAATAGCCCATCTCATAAAATAGTGACGAAAATTTTGCTTTCAGCGGGAAATGATGTTCGTAAAAGAAGCGCGAAGGCAAATAACGCTCTGGCGCCCAACTGGCAATAAACAATTTGGCAAGTGCCAACGGTGTGTACATAGTGCACATATTGGAATGGAAACCAAGTACATTTTCAGGGAAGAGCGTGCTAATGGCGCTGCCGGTTATGGAGCCCCAATCGCCACCTTGCACCAGAAATTTGTCGAAACCAATGCGTAGCATAAGGTTGCGCATAACAATGGCCATTTGTGCTGCATTGAAGCCGGGTTTGGTGGCAGGCTAAAAAGAAGAGACGAGAAAGAAGCACTTTAAGTAAGGCAATAAAAGAAAGAGCGGATGAATTGCTTTACTCACATCTGACCAACCATAGCCAACCAGAGAAGGCGCTATCACTTCATAAACATGGTCGTGTATGTCGGAAACGGCAACCAAAAGATTTATAAAGTCGTATAATTCGCGCACCGAGGCGGGCCAGCCATGCAGCAATAACAATGGCACTACCTTCTTCTGCTTGCGCGCTTCCTCTGAAGGTTTGGCGTGTATGTAGTGTATTTTGAGCCTAAAAAATTAATTGATGCCAGTTGAGAAAAACGAATGCAAAAAATGTTAGATGCCTTGCTTGTTTACCCCTGAATCTCGGTTTTGAAGTGTGGCAGCGAGTTCAAATAGGCCTGGCGTTGACTCCACTTGGGCAAATAGAATTCACGCCAGTAGATGACAATATGTTTGAGCGCATCCGTATTGAAACCATATTGGAATTTGATGCCATCCAATGGAGCTGCATACTTCCAGGTGCGGTTGAGCTGTGCGCGTAAATCGTCAATGATCTGCAGAGAATACAAATTGCTTAATTATTTATGTACATATGTAACTACATATATTCGTAATGTCAATTGCACAAACCGTTTGATCGTATTTGATTTTAAAAGGCACAATATCTTCCGGCGCTTTGTAATCTAGCCCCGAGCCAGGTCCCCAGTAAACATTTGTATCGAATTCCGGTTTAGGTAGTGGTTTCACTAAATTGTTGATACCGTGGTAAAGCCACGCGGTTATGCAAGCCAATACGGTAATACTAATTAAAATGGCCTTCATCTTCAGCAGTTGTAATCGGTTGACTTCTGCTTGCCGAAATTATCTGAATTGTTTTTTTTTTTTTATCAATCAGTGATGGTGCTTAGCTGAGTGGAAGTGCGTGATTAACACTCTGTGGATATCACGGTTAAGAACTTAAATATCAACGACTGCTTACAACGCTAGTCGTCCACACACTAATTGGCTTGTGTCAACGACGAAAAGGTACTATGTGGTTTTCTCCTACTATGATTGTAGATATTTATATATATATATATGTGTATGTTTTTATAGTTTCTGTATTTTTAAATTCGTTTTAAAGGTATTCACTTACCTAATTAAATTTATTAAAGAAATGTTTAACAAATGTTTATTGTCTTTTCGGGCAAGCACTAGCAAGTGTGTAAGAGCCAAGTATTTATTTTTTTTATTCAACGGACATCTTAACTTAATATTTTAAGCGAGAATTTTTTGTACATTTATTTACCTANTTTACCTAATTAAATTTATTAAAGAAATGTTTAACAAATGTTTAATTGTCTTTTCGGGTAAGCACTAGCAAGTGTGTAAGAGCCAAGTATTTATTTTTTTTATTCAACGGATATCTTAACTTAATATTTTAAGCGAGAATTTTTTGTACATTTATTTACCTACATACATATATATATATATGTATGCATACATAAATACATTTGATACCGTGTGCCTTTGTGTCACTCACCTTTAAATTAATTTTATTAATGTAATTTACCTAAATTATGGAGGGAACACCTTTCCACCCTACTGAATTGTAGCAGCACGGAACGTAGTGGAGAAGACGAACGCGATCCCCAGTCGATAATGACGGAGTCGATGTTCCTCCGCCGGACTATGACGAGGTACGTATAGAAATAACGCGGCTGAAAAACAACAAAGCTGCTGGAGCTGACAGCCTGCCAGCTGATCTATTCAAGTACGGTGGCGAGGAGTTTATAAGGTGCTTGCATCAACTCTTATGCAAAATTTGGTTAGATGAACGCAAGCCCGACGACTGGAATTTAAGGGTGTTCGGCCCAATCCACGAGAAAGGCGACACCGCCTTTCGCGCCACCTACCGCGGGATCAGAATTATAAGCATAGGTTATAAGGTCTTATTACTGAAGCCCACCGTCAGTGAACTGATTGGGCCTTATCAGTGTGGCTTTAAACCTGGCAAATTCACCATAGATCAGATATTCACAATATGCCAAAATTTGGAAAATACCCGAGAGAAAAGGATCAACATGGATCACATATTTGGCGACAGCACTAGAAGGAGTTGCCTATATGCCGTTGAATTTGGCATCCCCGCCAAGCTGATACGACTATGTAAAATGACGTTGAGCAATACCACCAGATCCGTCAGAATTTGGAAAGACCTCTCCGAGCCGTTCGCCACAAAACGGGGTTTCAGACAGGACGACTCCATATCATGTGACTTTTTAATCTAATATTGGAGAAGATAATAAGAGCTGCAGAACTGACCCGCTCAGGAACAATTTACTACAAGAGCGTGCGAGTGCTGGCTTATGCCGTTGACATCGACATCATCGGTAACAAAAATAGCGAAGTCTGTTCTGTTTTTTCCAAGTTGGATAAGGAAGCAAAGCCAATGGGTCTAGTGGTAAACGAGGACAAGACGAATTCAGTTTCGGTTTAACCGGAATTGAGTTTCGTTTCTTCCGAAACCGTCTTACGGTTCTTTTGGAATCCAGTTTCGATTCTTCCGAAACCGTTTTTCGGTTCTTACGGAATTCAGTTTCAGTTTTTTCGCAATCCAGTTTCGGTTCTTTAGGAATTCAGTTTCGGCTCTTCGGGAACTGTTTTTCGGTTCTTTCGGGATCGAGTTTTGGTTATGTCGAAAATGTTTTGCGGTTCTTTTGGAATCGAATTTCGGTTCTTCGGGAACTATTTTTGGATTCTTACGGGATCGAGCTTTGGTTCTGTCGGAACCGTTTTACGGTTCTTATGGAATTGAGTTTCGTTTCTTGTGGAACCATTTTTCGCTTCTTTTGGAATCCAGTTCCTTGGTTATGTGCATCACTACTAAGAATACAACGATGTCCCTGCGCACCTCTAACAACTTGGCTCCAGCGACAATTAAAAATAATATTTTCTCACACTTAAAAGTTCAAAGCCATCGCATTTTTTATTAATAATATAGGTATTACCAGTTAATTTGTACACAAAATTAAAAAGAAAAAACTTTTTGTTGCGATTTCGAGATATACTTAATCCTTCGTTATATCTTTGTGAGGACGTTGTTCCCCAGATACCAAAAAGTTAAAAAACCAATATTTAATTTTAGCTTTACAGCTGAAACTACTACTAACGCTTAATTATTGCTTTTTTCATCAGTCACTTATTACTATAAGTGCACAAAACTTTTCAAACCATTACATGAATGCCTCCATCATTTATTCAATTCTCATGTCGTACAAACTTTTTTCTGTTCGCACATTTTTAAGCAAATGTATGTACGTATGTATGTATGTATGTATACGAGTTTGTACTCAACGTTCGTCGTTTCTCCTTGTACCCTCTGCATTAATTTTATCTTATCAAATTTTATAAGAATATTGAATTTTTTATAAATCATATTTTATATTTGTCTTCTAGTACATACAACACTGTAGGCTCTGTGGTGTAGCCAATGATTTGCTGATACCAGTCTTCAGCTTTCCAACGTTGACGTGGAATTTGTGTAATACTTGGGTCTCTTTCCGTTCATACCAATTCAGAGAGTAAAATACATTTTTCCGACGGCACTTGTGCACAACGGTATTATATCCTTGTTCACATAACTGTTGTTTGTAATAGTCAAAACGAATCGAAATGTATACATAAATGCTCAGAATGAAAAAAAATCAATTGGCTAAAAAAATTTAAATTCGGCCAATAACCACGCACACATCCCATATAACGGTAATCTAGTAGTAGATATTGAATTCAAAATTGATATTTGCAAAAAACCTTTAACAGGAAATACTCTTATAACATATTTTTGGGAAAATGAGCGTGGAACCGCTCACTTATGACCACATACACTTGCGGTCCGCTGAGTGACATTTTGACCAGTTTTGGCTATTTTCCTTTGTTTATTTAATGGTTAAAATTTTTTGTTTTATAAAAGTCTAGCAAATATATATATAAAATATATATACATAAATCCACATTTCAAACTTCGCCAAAAAAAAAAAAATGAAAAGTACCCAAAACTACTCAANTACATAACCAGTATCACATAAATCCACATTTCAAACTTCGCCAAAAAAAAAAAATGAAAAGTACCCAAAACTACTCAAAATGCCACTTAATTTAATCACCTGACCACAAGGGTATATAAGTGTCGCTCATTAGGTCTAACTGAACATACTATCGAAGATGTTTGGAATAGGGGTAAACCCCTGGCCCCTGCTTACCATGTAAAAGTGGTTTTCGGAAAGGTGAAATAACTATATTTAATATGTGCGTCGGATATTTAATATTCGGCTTCGCCCGAANAAATAGGGGTAAACCCCTGGCCCCTGCTTACCATGTAAAAGTGGTTTTCGGAAAGGTGAAAGAACTATATTTAATATGTGCGTCGGATATTTAATATTCGGCTTCGCCCGAACTTAGGCTTTTTACTTGTTTGATTTTAAATTGCTTGCATTTCTTCAATAATAGGTTTATGTTTATGTATATGTAGCTATGAAATAATAATAATAATTATGAATAATAACATTTTTAAGTGTTTTAAATATTACAATGACCGAAAACTTACTACTTACGACAGTCAATGACCAGGCATCGAAAATATACATTACAGCACCGGGTACCAGTGCATTGGCTCTCGTATATGTTATTGGTCATTCACCGTAGCGTTAAGCTACAAGCACTGGCTATTTTTAATAGCTTTTCTCATACGAAAATTTACGAGATCTATATAAGTAATTGCATGCAAAATTTACAACTAAATCTATTTTTTTTTGTGTGAAATATATTTTTTTGCATTCTTTTCCGAAAAAACAACACCAATTTTTTATTACATGTTTTTTATTTTTATTTTTTATTGCAGTCAATCAACTATTTGTCGGGGAAAATTAATTAAGTAAAAAAAATGTGCGTAATAACCTCGGCTTTCAATTAGAGTGTGAGATAGATTTAAATAAATAATTCTTTGCATTAAAAAATTGTTTAAATTTTTTGTATTAATTGTACACTAGGGTGGTCCAAAAATGCATGTGAAAAAGTAAAGTCGGAATTTTAATGCTCTCACCCTTAGGATTGTTCTATACCGAAAAAAATATACCCCATATATTTTTTGAAATAAAAATATATTTAGTGGTCGCTCAAAGCGCTCAAAATTTTCCATGTATTTTTATATGGGAAAAAAAACTTTTCGTGGAAATGGTATCGAATTCTTGAAAATTAATATTTTTCTCTCGGGAAACTCTGCAGGAGATTCCCAGTAATAATACCCAATTGTTTAGTTAACTATTTGTTCATCACAAATATATAATTTATATGTCCGCCAAAAACCCACAAAAAACCCCGAAAAATGCAATAGGGATAACAATAAAAAATCGTTAGTATTAAAACATGGTTAAATAAACAATTGGGTATTAATATTGAAAGTCTCCTATCAAAAATTATATACCGTTTCTACGGAAAGTTGTTTTTTCCCCATATAAAAATACATGGAAAACTTTGAGCGCTTTGAGCGACCTCTAAACATTTTTAGATTTCACAATAAAAAATAGGGCTATACTTTTTTCGATATAGAACAATCCTAGGGGGTGAGAGCATTACAACACCGACTTTACTGTTTTTGGACCACCCTAATGACACACATATGTACATGTGCAAACAATTTGTCAGCCGATAATGATAAGAACATAGCGCTTTATCTCCACCTGCTGCCCAATACTATTTACGTATATCATACCAAAATTTTCACATTCTTATCAGTTGTTATCTTCGTCGTTCACCATATTAAGCGCGAAGGTGNACTTTATTGTTTTTGGACCACCCTAATGACACACATATGTACATGTGTAAACAATTTGTCAGCCGATAATGATAAGAACATAGCGCTTTATCTCCACCTGCTGCCCAATACTATTTAGGTAGCAATCATACCAAAATTTTCATATTCTTATCAGTTGTTATCTTCGTCGTTCACCATATTAAGCGCGAAGGTGAAAGTTTAAAA